TATGTGGTGGAAAGGATGGTTTCTACACAATAAATAAATTTTAACGTTTGGAAACTAACGCCTACAAAAATACTATTTTCTAATTGACGGAGAGCTGGCTACGGAAAAAAGTGACTTATCGCTACATGACTGACTTTTTGTGTAAAGTATGCTGATACATAGTGAAGTAGAAAAAGTTATGTCTGTCAGGGAGATCCCGTGGTTTAAAGTTGGGGTGGGTGGTCTAATAAGTCAAATTTTAATAAAACTACCGTTTTTCCGACTATATTAATATTTACCTCTGGCGCGTTTATTTTGAATCCGACGCAAAAAATTGATGAAACTTTTTTGTGCAGTTTATCAAAGTACATCTTTTTTGTATTTAACATTTTTCGCTATGGTGCTTACCTTTCGAGAAAAGTGCAAATTAAAAAAAATTATAAAATAAAAAGTTTAACTTTTCAATTTAGAATTACTCAAAAACTAAAAAACTCACAAAAAAACTGTAATGGACTTTTTTATAGAGTTTTGTATGCCACATTGGCCAGTGTGTTTAAAAATGATTACAAAAAAAATTTTGTTATGGCCCTTTTAAACTGAATGAATGTGGTTCGTTTCTTGTGAAGACGATAAAAAAAACCTGAACCGATTTTGATGAAATTGGGAATGTTTATAAGATTGAATAGGAAGTCGATCTATTTTGGTTTCGGTCCGTTACCATCTTCTGGGTTTTTGATGGTGTTAAAAGTTTAAATGGGCCATAACAACTTAAAAGAATGTCATTTTTTTCGCTTAGACTGGCTAATGTGGCACAAGAAACTCTGCAAAAAAGTCTATAACAATTTTTTTGTGAGTTTCTTAGTTTTTGAGAAATTTTAAATTGAACAGTCAAACTATTCATTTTATAATTTTTCTAAATTTGCACTTTTTTCAGAAAGTAAGCCTCATAGAGAAAAATGCTAAATATAAAAAAAGATGCACCTTGACGAGCTGTACAAAAAAGTCTTATCGACTTTTTACGTCAGATTCAAAATAAAGGCGCCAGAGGTAAATATAGTTGGAAGACCGGCAGTTATGAAAATTTGACCTATTTGACCGCCCCTCCCAACCTTAAGCCACGGGATCTCGCTGGCAGACATGACTTTTTATACTTCACTATGGATCAGGTACTTTACACAAAAAGTCAGTCAAGTAGCGATAAGTCACTTTTTTCCGTACGAACTCTTAGACTATAAATTCTTACATTTTTTCCTAGTAATCATAACACATTACACAAATGATTGCACACGTTGTGATAAAAGTTCTCATATCGACGAAATTTAGCACTTGATGATTTGATGGATTTGCAACATGGAAATAACGAGTAGCATTATTAAATAGGCCCCCCTATATGATGATCATTTTTTGTAATAAAACCTAGCATAATTTTTGTAAATTGTGCACAGAAAAAGAAAGTCTTTCGAATAATTATATTAAAATGTTGCGTTGTTATTTGATAAAAAAGTTGTATGACTTCACGCTGCTGAAAACTCAGATATAAAAAAATTTGCTGTTGCTAGCACAGATACCACTCGCACATGCACCTGCGCATTCTGCCCAAAAGCTTTTCACCTCTTTCGTTTATGTCTTAGAATATGTGTATGAGAGTACAGACGGACCGACAGACCGACATCAACGAGATTTTGTTTGATTGGGTTCCTCTAGTGCTTCAAAACTACTTAATTGAGCGGGTGGTTGTGATGTTCTGTTTAAAACGCGAGGGGGGGGGCATCCCCTGACAAATTTATAAAAAATTGATACTCAAAACGCAGTTTCAGCGCTCTAAATTGGTAAAAAAACGTGTTCGCGGATAACATACGCCTAGATTGAGAATATATACGCTATAATTATGTCTAACAAATCCTTTAGACTTTAGAGTATACGCGCGTATATGGAGTGTACCCCCCTATGGGAACACCACTGGTCTCCGTCATCACCATCTGGAGTAAATACTGCAAGCGGGAATCTCCTGAACCGTACTTTAAGAAGATTATGCTATAGAGCACGTTGGCGATTACTTAGCATCCTTGTCCCTTGGTTCTTTGAATATAAATATTCAAAGCTTGGTTACAATACCAACTATTGGACGAACCGCAGGCGAAGTATCTGGAGGCGTTTAGTTTAAACTACAATTATTACAATATAGTTTATGAACCCGTGTTATACATAAAACCACTTCTTGCGACATGTAAATTCGAATATGAACAAACACTTGAATTTGTAGCGAACTTTTGTCTGTAGAGGACCATTGATCTAAAAGTTTGGTAAAAAATCCCTTATAGTCTAGTGTCTGTTTACATCTTGCCGAGTCAAAAAGCTATAACCAATAAACGCACATAAAACATTAAATATGTATATGTTACACACAAACGTCGAAAACGCTCAATGAGCGAAAATAACTCACATAACGCGTTATGGCTGCAGCTAAATGACCAAACACCGAAATTAAATATTTTTACGTGGGTCGTTAACTTATGACCGCAATCGGGGGATTACCTACGAATAAGCACAGAGGTGATTTTATTTGAATTTGAATTTCTGTATTTGTCGTTCGTTTTAGAATTGTTTGTAATTGTGTACAACCGGGGGTAGGTATCCTCGTGCGACTAATGTGCCGAGTCGTTTTTATCCCCGCGCTTATGCTCTAATGCAAAACGAGTAGACCAGGGAGCCTATTTCATTAAGCTGCTGTGCAAATTTGTCACTATGCATTTGTAGTATTTGGAAGTGCACAGATTTATATCTGTTTCATAAAATATTTTAGTCGACGTTTCACTTCGTGTGTTATTCATCTCTACTTTACATATTTGGAATGTTTGCTTTGTCATTGTCAATTAATTAATTGTGTGTTTATTCGAATCCATTGTGTGATTCGGATATAGTTTTCATGTCAGATTTTCCTTCTCATGTCCAAGAATTGTGACAGGTGTTAATTAATATTTGCGTAGTTGATCCTTTGGAATTTTCGGAAGTTGATTGAGGATACTTCAAAACCATTCATTTGGGTTAATATTGGAATTTTTCTTTATAGCAAATGTCCGAAGTGTACGAGGAGAGATTATAAAAATTCTTTGTTTCCTGTTTGATTTGATTGAACCAAATTATACAATTCATTTGCTTTGCACCTTTTCACTTGTCACTTTGCAATTTTTAGATAATATTTTGGGCCATAAAGACTATTTTGACGCGCTATAACAGTTCAAATATGTAAAGTAGAGATAAATAACACACGAAGTGCTACATTTACTAAAATATTTTATGAAACAGATCATAATCTTTGCACTTCAAAATTATGCAAATGTAAAGTGACAAGTGAAAAGTTCCAAAGTAGCTTTTTAAAATAGGCTCCTGGTCTACTCGTTTTGCATTAGAGCATAAGCGCAGCGATAAAAACGACAAAGCACATCAGTCGCACGAGGGTACGCACGGTGTTGTACACAATTACAAACAATTCTAAAACGAACAACAAATACGGAAATTCATATAAAATCACCTCTGTGCTTATTCTTAGGTAATCCCCCGATTTACACTTAATAAATTGAAATGTTTTCATGTACAGGTGTCCAGTCAGAATTTTTGGCCTTTAGACCGAAATAACGTCTAGGTACATGATATTTTCAAAATGCATTATATTTTTGAATTGTTGTCATTTAATAAATAATTCAATGTATCATGGTCATTCTCCAAACGAACAAAACGCGTTGTGGTCATAAATTAACGACCATAACATGGGAAAATATTTAATTTCGGTAGCTGCGGCCATAACGCGTTACGTGCGTTATTTTCGCTCATTGAGCGTTTCCCATATTTGTGCGTAACATAGGTAATATATATATTTTCTTGTTATTCATTGTACTTCGTATAAACCAATAAAGGGAACTAGAGAAACTGCATCTGTTCCGTCTTATTTATTAATTTGCCATTTCTAGTGAAGTTTTGTTCTATGCAAATTGTAGAACATTATCGCTCTACAAAAAATTTGCCCGCATTACCCGCACACCTGCGCATGCGCTTTTCTTCCCTTTTATGCCCATGAATACGTGTACCAAATTTGGTTCCAATTGGTTAAGCCGTTTAGCCGGAAATGAAAGTACAGACGAACCGACAAACCGACATCATCGAGATTTTGTTTGATTCGGATTCCTGATGGTGCTTCAAAACGTCTATTTCCTTAAAAAAAAGTGAGGGGTCATTTTTTACCCCAATGCAATATACCTCCCAGGTATAGCCAAGTATCTTTTGTCGTGCAGTCTAAGGAGAAGATTATAGGGCACAACGCACTGAAGGAATGCTGCAAAATTACCCTTTTCCCAATTTTCCACATTATATTTTCATCAATCTCAGATCTTTTGCGGTAACATCCCATTCCTATATTACGTGCGTACTGGAGTACATCTCCAAGGCCCAAATGGAATTTTGTTGCAGAAGTCTATAGTTTATAGGTACCAGCTATAGTTTATAGACTTCGCAACAAAATTCTTGATTCTTGATCGTGGGCACATTTCCCTATTCCAATTTTTTGTGAAACATTGTGTAGAGTATGTTAACATATTTTGAACTTTGAACTGAACTGACCATTCTAGGCTTGTAAAGCAAGGACGTTATACGTGAGGATTTATAACGACAAATTTGCCTTTAGAACAAAAATAGGTTAATAGTATAATTATTTGCAGTGACTTAATAAGCTGTCCTTAACAAGTGAGTAATATAATTTATTGTTAAATTATTCACATTAGTTACAAGAAGCTCACATATGAAGCATGTGATAATGTCATCAGCACTGCGAAGCAGTTGACGTGATCTGAGAAGTGAGAAGTTTCCTGTCAATTAATTTTTAACTTAACAAACCATATATAATTTTGGTTGCAAGAGGTGGTTGTAACCTTGAGGTTTATTAGCATTGACATTTTGTGGGTACCTCATTGTTGTTTTTTATTTAAAGATAAACGGCCGCTAATTGTTAAGTGCGTTATGCAACTTACATGTATAATAAAGAAGCGGAGTAGGTATGCGTTATATGTGCACGAACATAACAATAAATGAATGACCGGTGTGCCAATTGTGAAATTTTGTGAGAAAGACCGTGAAAACTTCTCAGGAATACATTACTAAATCAGAAGCGACCCTACTGCAAATTTCATTGTGTTTCTATTTTAAATATTAGTTTGCTTACTGCATCATTGCTTTAGTCATCTAATCCGTGAGAAATACTTAACAACTATTAGTAACAACAAACATCCTGCACGAATTAAAGAAATTAATATTAACCTTGTCATCTCAGTAGGTACTTATTAGTTTTTAATTGGCATATGGTATATTAAATATAGAGGTTAATAGATCTGAGTGTAATGTGATTTATATTTTAGAATTGGTGCAAAAACGTAATTCCTTTGCTAAATTAATAAGTATTTTACCTTCCGGAATTGATGTGGTTGAGAGTTTATTTGATTAAAACCTAATATAGTTTTCAATTACCTACCTACGTATGAGAGCTATGGGCAGTGAACCGTTTCATAAACAATTTTTTTTCCAGTAATCGATATATAATATATGATTATATAATTACCTTTGGGACCCATTCTTGTCCAATTGATTAACACAATCATACATACATAATATGAAGTTGTATAACCTCATACACTGATTAAATTTGGTACTAATGAATTGCTGGTTTTATATTTTGAATTAAAATCTAATTTTTTTGGTACTTATAACAAATAGCTTACCTAAACTTACAAATAAATTAGTGAGAAAAAGGTGAAATCGCTTAATCCCCTTGCCTAAAGTATTAAATTTTTTTGCGTCCACAAACTTTACCACTTACTCCATCCACCTAGTCCCGAGATGTGTGCCGCCAATGTTCTGCTAACTTTACGAATTGAATTAGTTCCTTGGGTGAGAGAAGTTGGCATTCTTGAATTGACTGTACCAAAAGCTCGGTGTGATCCTACGGGGTCATTGGATGTTTGGCAGAAACAGAGAGGAGTGATCCTAAGGGGTCATTGGATTTGACGCATTTTCAGATTACTTGTGGCATATA